AAAGTGGTCAGATATGGAGGATCTATTGCTGAGTGAAGTAAGCCAGGCTATGAAAGAAAGATATTGTATGTATCCACTCAATATATACCTACTATCCACACTCTATGGTAGAGAGCAAAAAAGCAGTGAAGGTACTTAATGAGAATAGGACAGTGTGGAATGGGGGAGGTGAAGAGAAGAGGATAGAGAAAGATAGCAAGAGGACAATAGAGAGGCAGGACGTTAGTGAGAAGCAGATATGGCTTATTACCTGTTGATGATGACATGTATAGTATTCTCAACTGGATTGGTCTGAGAAGTATTTCATGATGGGCAAAGTCTTTTTACAAGCAAAATGAGAAATAGTGATTGTTTTAAAAAAATAATTAGAATAATAATAATGATTGGGGAAAACATAGAAAAGATATTGAATGTTGAAGTGGGGAGATTATGTCTCTGTATTGACTGACATGCTTGGCATTACCTTTTGAAAAAGTGATGTAATACACTGTAAAGTTATATGTAATCCAATGTAATATAAAGAAGATTATGATAATAATAATAATAAAAAAGAAGTCAGTCATAGGCAAGATCAAAGTAGCAATTCCTCATCTTTCTCATTCATTTATGTAAAACTTAGGGGAATTAACATGTTGTTATTAGTGTAGTAGACTGTTTACACAGGTAAGCAACATAATGTAGAAAGTAATCTCTCTATATAGAATTAAACCATAGCATCATTTTGTTTATCATTGGTTAGGTGCTGTGATTGTCTCCACGCCCCAGGATATTGCCCTGATGGATGCGCACAAAGGAGCCGAAATGTTTCGAAAAGTTCATGTGCCTGTAAGCATTTCCACCTTCATTGTTGAGGAATATGCGATTTGTGACTGAAGAAGGAAGTCACTGAAAAATACAATCCAAGTGTTTTTTTTTAATTATTTATTATTTATTTATTTATTTATTATTATTTTTAATTTGCTGTAGGACACACGTGCTCACCAGAGAGAGAAAGAGAGAGAGAGTGAGAGAGAGAGAAGGAAAGTGAGAAAGCAAGCTCCCAGCTCTGGGACTCAAACCGCTGTCAGTCATGTGGGAGTCCAGTGCCTTAACCACCACGCCACCTGCTGGCCACAGTTCAAGTTTTTAACTTAGACTTGTGTAGAAATGTTTATGAAATTCTTAGGTCATCTTCATGGTTATTTTATTTTATTTTTTAAAATTTGTCAGAGGGTTTGTGTAATCACTAGAGAGAGAAAATGAAAAAGCACCTAATGGGG